TATTATCGTAAATAGCCAGCGAATACTGGATAATTAATAAAATTTTAAAATACCTTCATAATTATTCGAATATCATTGATAATATTACGTTAGAATTCATGTTTGCTATCATACAAAATGAATACACAATACATCATGTGATCTATAAAAACTGATCACGAGACAAAGATTCTTCAGGACTTCAGTATCTGCATAGTCTGAAATCAGCAAATTACAATCCACTATACCTCTTATCGCTTTATCATAGTCAATAACACAGTCCAATGTAATTAAAACTACTTTTACGGTTTAATCTCGCTTTGTTTTTGCTATTAGGTATATTGTTTCAGATATTCGGAATTCTTCACAGTTTTCGTGGTCACTGGAAACTAAGCTGTTTGTTATACGTCCACATTTCAATAATGTTCTGACTACCGTCAATTGATTATAAAAATGTTTCATTCACAGAACGAATTTATAGTATCTTAAGTTCTGGCAGTTTGTTTGAGGCTTTAAATAAGGGCCAACCATTTCTATTTAAATTAGTGCTTTTTTATTTCGCTCGGGCTCGCGCATCATACTTCAAATTAATTTGTTTTCCCAAGCGAGTAATTAAATTTATAAAATCATTTAAAAACCCATCAACTAAAATATGTTGGTGGATCTTTGATTTCACTTCGATTCGATCGCTACCAAACTTACTGGATTACACGCTAGACCAATCTGAAGATTTGTTGAAAATGTCATTGAAATCTGCCCAGGCCTTTTTTTATAAATATAGATTTTTGAGAAATCCATATGTCATAACGATATATCTGTGACGCTTTGTCTTTCCACCTCTATAATATTCTCGTTTCGTAAATATTACTCCTGAAAAAAACCGGTAAACAACAAAGAAAAAACGTAAAAACTGACACGACACTGACACACTTGGCAATTTTGGAGACTTTGCGAAGACACGTCAGGATTATACCCCATATGTTTGGTAATGACCGCGCTGGGTTATTTTGAAATGTTGTACGGACAAATTTATGAGAGCGTTTCATATTTTATTGACGTATTGTATTAAATTTACATTATCTTCCTGTTGGTATTTGTGTTCTATTTTTGTCGTTGTATGATGTAACATTACTTCAGCATTTGAGTCGTTTATCGACTGATTTTTTGTTTCGTCTTGTCGGATTTGTAGGATCAGAGCTAATGTTTTTTTTGTACATTTAAGGTAATAGGATAATATAATGTAAGGAATGTTAATGTTCCTAAATCAATATGTGCACAGAAGACTGTTCTCTACTATCCTATCCTCAGCGGAAAGTAATATTCATTAACTAAGCTGTTCAAATACTTTTGTCTTGTAAGCTCTATAATATTTCATAACACGCAATTCAAATTAAAGGCGTCTGTCTGTCTATTTGTTCTTCTGAGTAGTCAGCGTGTCTTCACAAGAGGCAGTGTATAGGGAATACAAGAAAAAGAAATTTGCCCTTATGTAAGAATCTCCGTAAAAAGCATCAAGTAAGTAATGTGCTTTATGTCAAACGCCTTTAAATATTATAGGCTTAACAAGCTGCGGCAAAAAACGCTATTTCGGCCTCTATCCTTGTTAGAACTACAAGGCGTTAACAATTTTCTCCAAAATGAAGAATTTACCCTAAGACCTTTTACCTTTTTTGACGTTGACCCCAAATACTTAGGTGATTATTCACGTTATTAATTCCCTAATCGCAGTCAACGTTTCTTAAAAGAACCTTTAATGAAGTGTTTCTCTCTATATAGATAATCAAATGAAAAGGGATTACCAATTAATTCGTATAATCTCGTTATTATCGCCATATTTTGTTCGTTTACGGAAACTTCTCCATAAACAATATAATACATATGTCTATGTAAATTATAATTAAAAAGTTACGTAATTATAGGGCTTTATTTAAAACCCGCCCAGAATAACATCAGACCATGTAAAGTCGGTTTAAAATCTTCAAGTATACATAAGACAAAATATGATCTATAGTCGGAGTAAGGTATCGGTATCCTTACTGCGAGTTTCGTAACGTTCTCGATAGCGTAAAAGTTAAGCCAATTTTGTATGCAGTTGGAACAGCGCCCCTAGCGGCAAACGTACGTTTTTTTTTTTTCCCCTACCTAAGCTGAGAGCCTTGAGAGGCTATTTCAGCGTAACCCTAACGTTTGTAGGTGGGCTCACGGGGCTCAAACCTGACGACGATGCTAACACGAACCCTAGCAAGAGCCGTGCTTCGCAGAATCTACCACCGGATCGGAAACGCGACCCACTGAGAAAATCCGGCGAGAAACTCAGTGGGCTGTGTCTGGGAGTTAATTTACTCGTCGAGCTTTTCGTCGCAAGCGACGGGTTCGACGAGAACGGTGACCGGTGCTTGAAGTACCTAGAAGCACCGGTAGTGGATCGGGAGGATCCGAGATGACGTGTTTTGGGCGACGTCGACTGCTTTCCATTTTGTCCGCAGGATCAGGAATGAACGTACGTAAACGATCCCACTCCATATAAATATGAGCTAACTTTTACGCTATCGAGAACGTTAAAAAACTCGCACTAAGCACACGGAACGATTGAATAAGGTGGCATCAACAAATACCTTCGAAATACGAATATCCGTGAACGTGGGCTGTCCGTTGGAAATAATGAACGATAGTTTATTTTTGTGAAAGCAAACGTTTTCACGCGTGTGGTTTAGTGTAGCAGTCGCGCCATGTGTCTCGTTTGCTTAAGACTCCTCGTTTGATATAATTTCGAAAGTGCTCCATCAATTCGCCATTAACTCCAGTGCTTAAATAGTTTTAATAATGTCATAAAAATTACTTCGAAAACAAATGTCACGTTCGAAAGTCCTTGACGCCATAAACCTAAGAGATAGATAGATAGAAGTTAGTGTCTTAATCAAATATCGGTGTCATTAAATCTTTAAAACAATAATAATGTTAAATTGCGAATGGACGAGATCATCATCATAGTCGGTTGCTCTTGCCAGAGCAGTCGTGGTCATGTGGAATTCTTGTTTATTAAAGCCTTGACAGATGCTTTCCATAGTTTGCGAACTGAGGCTTGGCGCACGCACTCGCTAAGTGAGGTTTCAGTAAGGTCTTTCACCTGATCAGTCCAGCGCATGGGCATTCGTCCACGGACGAGATAGAAATGGGCAATAACCCTAACACGGTCTAAAGTAAAATGATGTACCCGAATTACAAATAACAAATCTCTATCGTTATCTCTCGATACATCACAAACCTCTCAGTTTCGGATCCACCTCGTGTGTTTATCAGGCCCGTTATCAGTGTCGGGAGGCAGCAAGATCGGACGATTACGTTCGGTCAACTCGAAAGAGGCTCTCGTGTGCAGTTATTATAAGTCCCAGACTTGCTAGTTTTTAATCTTTTAATGACGTTACGTGAACTGATCATTTTTTAAGAACTTGTGAGTGCTTGTGGATTCTGCGTGTGGTGATGTCTTCGGTAAAGTTATTCTTAATTATTTTTAGCATATTTTTTTTATTGCCTTTGTAGGCAGACGAGCATACGGCCCACCTGATGGTGAGTGGTTACCGTCGCCCATGGACTTCAGCAATGCCAAAGGCAGAGCCAAGCCGCTGCCTACCGCTTAATACTCTCCACAAGCCTCGTTTGAAGAAGGACAAGTCATAGCGCTCGGGAAACACCGTGGAGGGGAGCTCATTCCATAGCCGGATGGTACGTGGCAAAAAAGATCTCTGGAAACGCACTGTGGATGACCGCAGTGGCTCCAGGTGGTATGGATGAACTCTACTCCGGTGGCGGGCGGTGCCATGGTAAAAACGAGACGTTGGTATCATCTCGAACAATTCCTCAGACCACTCCCCATGGAACATGCGGTACAAAATACAGAGGGAACCGAAGTCCCTACGCAGACCCAGAGGCTCCAAACGATCCGTGAGAATGGGATTATCGACAATCCGAACGGCTCTCTTCTGTATGGAGTCAAATGGAAGAAGCTGGTATTTGGGAGCCCCGGCCCAGAGATGGGAGCAGTACTCCACGCGAGGCCGGGCTTTTTTTGATACATATCGCTGTTATGACTGCGCGAAACGGTGGCTACTCGAATATATAAATATACACGTATGTATATTGTCCTGGTGTCTCAGGGTCACGTCAATGGATCTTGTGGTGAACGACCTATGAGAATAAATATATTTTTTTTTTTTATATAATAATATAATGCCCTTTTGGTGAGTTGTTATCGTCGTCCATGGACGTCAGCAATGCCAGGGACCGAGCCAAGCTGCTGCCTACATTTGGGTAAAACTATTATACGAATCGAAAATATAGTAACACGCAGAAGAAAAAAAAATTTTTTTTCTTTCATTAAAAATATATTACGAGTACTTAAGTTCTACTTTTTTTTACATAGTTACTCTAGTATAGTTTTAATAATCTAGTTTGACTTATAATGTACATGGCCTTTGTTGATTAAGATCTTCCTCGTAGTACATATTAGACTCATCAGGGCTTCCGTTACCTACATATTTCCGCGTAACTAGATAAATGACCGTTGATCGATAATAATATCTGTTGTATATTGTTTACATTAGATATTTATTTTGTACGCGTAGTTTATCGTATCATCTGTTCCCATCAAGGTTTGAATTATCACCGTGGATTATTATTTAATTGATACTAGGAAAGATGATAAAAATAGAATAACATAAATAACGAGGGACGGATAAGTTTTTATTTTATTTTATTGCTTAGATGGTTTTTTTAAACTATTATTTATTTTTTAGTTGAATTAAAAGTTTTTCAATCTTTTTTTTAATATTGGATTGTCATCGGTTCTTAATAAGTATACCAAATTTCGAGTTAATCCGACGTTTTGAAGGGGGTCAAAATCATATTCAAAGATTCCGTTACATACTAACATACACACGTCTGAAGCTAATAAAAGCGTATTAACAAAGCTTAGTGTTAAATAAGATTCGCTCCGATTAACGTTTACGATTGATTTTCCGCAGGTGGAAGAACGAAAACGTGCAATATGGGAAGCGTCCATATCCCGGCGCGAAGCATTATTGCAACGAGAGAAGGACCGAGCGGAGCGCATGGAACGCGCCCGCGCCGCCCGGTCTTCGCCCCGACCGGCGTTCGCTTTCGGTTCTTCGACACCACGGCTCCTGGATCCGCTAGATTCGGCCGGATTCTTCTGGGCAGCGCGCAGGTACACTAACCAAAAGTAGTCAACTTGATTTGAGACCGCGTTTTGGATAACATTGACAGTTCGAGCTAAAGTTATAACTGGTGTTAGGACCTCTTGTGAGTCCGTACGGGTAGGTTCCACCGCCTTACCTATTTCTGCCGTGAAGTAGTAATGCGTTTCGGTCTGAAGGGTAGGGCAGCCTTTGTAACTATACTGAGATCTTAGAACTTATATCTCAATGTGGGTGGCGCATTTACGTTGTAGATGTCTATGGGCTCCAGTAAACACTTACACCAGGCGGGCTGTGTGCTCGTCCAACCATCAAAGCAATAAAAAAAAGTCAAAATGTATTACATAAACACTGAACATATTAATATCATCGCGATATACCTACGGCTTTTGATTAGTGAACTGAATCTGGGTATCTGTATGTTTGTTCACGTATTATTTGTGTTTGCGTTAACTAAATCGGAGAAAGAAAATAGCTTTGATCTTTTAAATATTCTTAGTTTAACTTAAAATAAAAAAGGTTGTATTTATAATTAGTTGATACAAAATGTTATTGGAAACTAAAAACTTAAGTTAAAAAAAAATTTGACCAATCAATGTTTTAATTTATTTACCAAAACTATCAGTATCCATCGATAAATATATTAGACTTTATTTAGTAAACAATCAACATCCATGCAAAGTTTTTAGGTTTAAAATAAAAAATAATAATTTGACATTGCAATCGAAAACTATAGAAATAGATATTTAGAAATTCTGTACGCGCGTCTGTTAGCTTTAGCGTAACATCCAATATCTTTTAGCTCGAACCACAAATGTTATCCAAACAAATCTGTTAGTTGTCTAGCTGTAGTATTTATTGACTACGTTTTGTTTTCTCCTTGTACCCTACTAGGTGACTGAAGGAGCTATTTTCACAGTTTGCTTTTGCCTTTATTTGGTGATGGATGCCTACCCACAAACGTAAAGATTAATAATAGGTTGATTTTCGTGTTCTAATTTTGATTTTTCTTTGTTTTTCCGTTTACTCCGACAACCAGTACCAACCCCATAGATCAGATGAACTTTTTTGAGTCGCTGTAAGCACATTTTATTTTCTTTTTGTTCGTTTTCTTTTTATGTATTAGTTTTTTGTTGTTTTTTTTTTTCTTGTAATGTTCACTAATTTTGAGTTTGCATTCGTAGCATTGACTACTAACTTCACTCAATAGTTTTGCGTTACGTAATTTTTCGTTTCGCCTGTAGATTCTTTAGATATGCACGTTGAATGTTGTTGCATGTGATTAGTTTGAAAATCAATTAGAAACACATAATTTAGTTAACACTAAATGATATTACTATTGTACAATGTAAACCATTTATATTCTACATATTTGGGGGTAGATAACCCCAGATTTTTTACCTACCCCAGATTTTTATGGTGGGTTGCATTATAAGCCCTCATGGGTTGGTTCCAACATCTGGCCTGTTCCTACCACGAAGCGGTCGTACTTGTACGGGTTTGAAGATTGCTGGAAGTCTAAAGGAATACAGACTTTGATCTCATGTTCCGAAGTGGAAAATGGCTATCACTTTCCGATCTTTATGGATTCCGATAATCACTCAACAACAGATAGTCCGTGAGATTGTTTCCCATAATCATTAAAGATGCATTTAAGAATGCAGCAAATTATATACCCAACACTTTTTTCAATGATTATTAAGCTGATTATAATTTAAAGGAAAAAGTATGAAACTGTGTTTTGTTAATTGTCCTACGACTAACTTTTATCTGAAAATTGAAAAATCAACTCTAAAGTAATCAAAGTAGATGTAGCAAAAAAGCATAACGCCAGTCGTTCTTAAAAAAATATGTATGTGACGATGTTACGCTATCATTTTATTCTTTTTTATTATATTACATTGAACGTCACCGATAAAATTCGAATTAAGCTGCTTCACGATAAACTTTCCGTCGTTTATCGTATATCGATAAAACGCTACAAGTTACGTTATTTAATGACGAAAGGAACTTTTTCCGGATCTTTACAATACGTGCATACCAATAAATAAATATTTACTAACAATTACGCCACGGTAACTGATCCCTTGATAAGTTCGTAAAGAACTTGTGTTACAGGTACCAGATAACGAAAATAAATGTAAGATTTTTATTATACACATACATATATTTAATATACATCCATAACCCTGGAAAAGACATTTATATTTATCATACAAATATCTTTCCTTGGCGGGATTCGAACCCGCGACCACCTTGTGTAGTGACCATGTCACTTACCACTACACCAGACAGCTGTTAAGCCAATAATAGTACGGTTTACCCTATTTACGTCTATACTAATATTATAAAGAGAAAAGATTTGTTTGCTTGTTTATATTGAATAGGCTCCGAAACTACTGAACCGATTTGAAAAATTCTTTCACTGTTTCGAAGCTACACTATTCCCGGGTGACATAGGCTATAATTTTTGAAAAATATTAGCGACCCTTACTAAAACTCCAATAATGTAACCCAAGGTGTAAAAAATTACCTAAAATATTCTTTACATCGCGTGCCCTGCGAAAACCATTGATGATAGAATAAAATAATGTACTACGACTTTGTAGAACACATTATTATTTACAAAAAGTGTCGCGACAACATATATCTATATTATAGTTATTCCGCAATAAGTGTTTTTTATTTTAAAAAAATTAAACAATATCAAATATCGTTGAAATTTTTGTTAAAGACCCGAGCGGAGCCGGAGCGAGCTGCTAGTAATTTATAAATTCAAACTATTGGCATACCGGTGTATAGTAAATGACACTCAAGTATTTAGGTCGGCGCGCCTTTGTTCCGTGTGAACGAGTGCGCGAAATTATAATAATATGTGATTTTACTAGTTTTTGGGACGGCCTTATCCTTTCTCAATGACATTAAGGATTTATCGAATAGTAGGGTAAACTTCTGAGGAGATAACTGTTTCTGTTTCCATTGCGTGCTGTGTTCTTTTTCTTATTTTTTAATTTTTATTGCATAGGTGTGTGGATGAGCTCAAAACCCCCCTGGTGTAAAGTGGTTACCGGAGCCCATAGACATCTATTAGCTTGCCGCCACCCACTTTGAGATGTGAGTTCTAAGGTCTCAGTATAGTAACAACGGCTGCGCCACCCTTCAAACCGAAACGCATTGAATTTTATTGCGTATTTTATTTGTTGCGTTGACGGGTGGACCAGTGTGGAGTAGTTACTGGAACCTAGAGATGTGAATACTGCCATCCTCCTCAGCCTGGACCTACGTTCAGTACCATTGACATGTCAATTCTTAATTCAATATATCATCCATCACGGGATTATAATGATTAACAGGTCGTAGTGCTGGTGCCCTTCATGTATACCTACCGACCTTGATTGCTGGTGGACCGTAACTTCGTCTGTTGAGCTACGACAATACACGAAAACGAAATAAGCAATCATGAAATAAAAATACCTGAACCAAATTCCCGTAAAAAAGACTACACGAAATTAATACGTTTTTAAATGCAATCAATCTCTTTGCATGATCGGAGTTAATTAAAATTGCACGTACCGCACTGTGTGTGACCTTTAGTTGTTATTGCTGTAACGTGTTATCTTTATTCAAGACTTAAATTACGTGTAGATATTGCTTAGTACTTTGGGAAACACTAATTACAGGGCGGTATAGAGGTTTCTTTCGAAAAGTCTAATCGTAGTCATATCCTAATCATCATCATCTTAGGCCTTACATCTCAGGGTGGGCCTTAGCCTGGTCCAGTTTGTCTCTCCAGACTGCTCTGTTCAGGGCTTTCTTCATCCAGTCCTTAAGTCCGATAGCTTTGAGGTCGTGCTCTACGCCATCTAACCATCGAACCATCCTATTCTAATACGCCTCATAAATATTAAAGTCAAAATTGGATTAGCGTTTTCTGGGCGTAATAAATGTTCCCGAAAACAAAGATGATTGAGACGATATTTTTTATTGTTTAGATGTGTGGACGATCTCACAGCGCACCTGATGTCAAGTAGTTACTGGAGCCCATAGACATCTACAACGTAAATGCGGCCACCCACCTTGAGGTATTAGTTCTAAGTTTTCAGTAAAGTTACAACGGCTGCCCCACCCCTCAAACCGAAACGCATTACTGCTTGACAGCAGAAATAGGCAGGGCGGTGGTACCTACCCGCGTAGACTCACAAGAGGTCCTACCACCAGAGTAAAAGTTTAAATAAAAAGTAAAATAAGTAGTTTAAAAATAATAAAGAAAACAATCTTGAATATGTTTGTCTTATCAGCTTAATTCGATAACGAGTTCGTCTTTTAAAATATTATATACCTAACTCTGTTTTATATTGTTATGTATTTACCTAACTGTGTATTTGTATTATGTTTATCAGTATTAAATTAAGCAATTTTACTTCGGTGATGTCATGTTTTGATAAAAGCGAGTGTGTTTAAGTGAGAATTCACTACTTTTGTTTTTATTTGTTCATCAAATACTTTTTAAATACAAACACAACGTTAAACTTTATATGAGCAACCGAAATACGTTATGTTCGGTACGATTTAGTAGAAATTATTTTTTTGTAACCATGTAGATCTAATTGATAATATTTGTTTATATATGTTTTTATATGTATATATATTAATGTATTTATTTAAGTACGAGTATTTGTATCTATAAATATTATGTATATTATATATACACATATGTTTAAGTAATATCACCTTCACACTACACCTACCAAGCTTCATCTCTGCACTGCCCTAAGATAGACTGTTAGAGAATGCCTATGGCATTAAGTCCGCCTTTATACTTTCTAGTATAAGAAGTTATAAATAAATAAATAAATAGATTGATAGCTCGTGGTGCTTAGTCGGTACTGGTGATCGCGGTATAAATGCATTCTACCATCAAAATACCAACATTGGTGTCAATCACCAACAAAATACTTGTGACAGGACGTATCGTTGGGACGAATTTCTGTAGTTTTCACCAATCATCATCCCCCTATCCTATAGACACAGCCCACTGAGTTTCTCGCCGGATCTTCTCAGTGGGTCGCGTTTCCAATACTGTGGTAGATTCTGCGAAGCACTGCTCTTGCTAGGGCCAGTGCTAGCAACACCTCCGGTTTGAGCTAAGAGGTCACCTATATGCTAGGGTAAAGCTGATATAGCCTCTCAAGGCTATCAGTATGGGTAGGATGTAAAATCCCCCTACCGAATTACAGAGTAGTTTCTGATCTCTTAACAGACACAACCCAGTGTGGGTTTCATGCCCCGAACATCTCAATGGGTCCGGTGGTAGATTCTTTGAAGCACTGTTCTTGCTGGGACAGATATTAACAAATTTTCTTAGGCCGAGTGCCGTGAGATCGCCCACTAATCAAGATGAAGTCAAAACTCAAGGATATTGGCAATTAGGTAGGCAAAACAAACTTGCGCAATAAGTACCTGATGGATTTTGATGAAACTTCATAATACCTACTTCATAATGGTATATAAATTATACTTACAGTACGTTCTATAACAGGGGTTTCGGTGAATGTATGTAAAAAAAACTTAATTCACACTAGTTTTTTATAGTTTTTTTTTTTTCGTTTTATTGCTTAGATGTGTGGACGAGCTCATAGCCCACCTGGTGTTTAGTGGTTACTGGAGCACATAGACATCTATAACGTAAATGCGCCACACACCTTGAGATAGTTCTAAGGTCTCAGTATTGTCACAACGGCTACCCTACCCTTCAAACCGAAACGCATTACTGCTTCACGGCAGAAATGGGTGGGGCGGTGGTACCTACCCGTTCGGACTCACAAGAGGTCCTACCACCAGTAATAAAAAACGAAATCGCAAATCAAATTAGAAGAAAGTGAGGCTCTGTGGATCGATACAGATTGACTGCGCGCGTTTAGGGGCGATGAGTTAAATATAATTTTGTAGTTACGACCCAGCGTTGGTAGTTGGTGTTTATTTATTGCCCCATTCTACGACACGTGAGAATAGGTTCGAGTTTCAATTCAATGTTTTTCATACAAATAGCGATATTCACGGAATTGTTGCCAACTGAGTTTCTCGCCGGGTCTTCTCAGTGGGTCGCGTTTTCGATCCGGTGGTAGATTCTGCGAAGCGCTGCTCTTGCTAGGGCCAGTTTTAGAACACTCCCGGTTAGAGCCCCGTGAGCTCACCTACACGTCAAGGAGAAACTGAAATTACCTCTCAATGCTATCAGCATAGGTAGGGGAAAAAACCGGAATTGTATATTGAGGACGGCCCAGAAGTTGAAATTCAATGATCTGGTCGGTACGCTCCACCCTCAACAACACTTCAGTCTGCGATTCCATCCACGCAGCCGAGGACAGATTGAGCTGGCGCAAGATGGCACAAGAAAAAGCTATTCAGATAGGCCACGACCCTCACAATTGAGGCTTATCGACGCGAAAGGGAGGAGCGTTAGTGACAGCGAATCTTGCTTAAGTAGTTATTCTTTGTCATGATTTTAAGGACTATCGGGACTTTTGGAACTATTTTAATATCAATTCTTCAACCCGTGTCCACGCAATGCTGAGTGTAGGTATCTTCGAAAGCACCCCATTTTCTTCGGTCTCTTGCCTTCCTCATCCAGTCTCTCCCAACCACTTTGACCAAGGCATCGGTCTACCTCGTTGGCTGTCTCTCTCTCTGGACGTTACGACGTCCAGTACGAGGTCTCCACTCCAGTGCTTTAATATAAAGCACCTTTATTCACATGGATGAACTTTTTGAAAGCAATAAGCGTGATTGAACGAACACACAAAAGTTTCACCTTTCGTTTATACATATATTTTTTTTATTACCTTTGTAGGTAGACAAGCGTACGGCCCACCTGATGGTAAGTGGTTACCGTCGCCCATGGACTTCAGCAATGCCAAGCCGCTGCCTACATATTAGACATATTATACATAGATCCGTTGGATGCAAGCAGCGAAGGACCGATATTTGTGGCGAGAGTCGAGGAAGCCTATATCCAGAAGGTTGATAGAATAGAAATAGACATAGACAATAATTTTTGTATAAACTAATATTCTTCATAATTCGTTATGCGGTAAAGAATTTACAGGGCAAACGAAGCCGCATATGTAAGTAAGGTTTGATTACAAAAAAAAAATTTTAACTTCCATTCAAATTCATATAATTCAAAGTTAAATAGTGCTAAGTGGATCCATAACGTTACTATAAATGGCGGTGTCGCCATTAACTGTTAGTGTCCGTTAGTTGACCGACCATAACTCATGGACGCTACTTGTGTACACCCAGCATTAGCCACTAGATTTAATAGCGCGTTGTCAGTGTCAGAATTGAAGACATAAGTTGATGAAGGGGATATGATGATACAATTTGTGAATTTTGAGAAAACGGGCAACAAACTTTTGTTACTTTTACTTTTTCTTCGTGCATACCTCCTTCGTCACATGCAATTCCTAAAAATAGCCTTTAAACCTGGAGTATTAAGGTCTAATGTGGCTTATAGGCGCTTAACACCTTTATTAAATGTAAAAACTCGAAAATCTTAAGAATGGTACTTAATGGTACTTAACTGGTAGTAGAACCTCTTGTGAGTCCGCGCGGGTAGGTACCACCACCTTGCCTGTTTCTGCCGTGAAGCAGTAATGCGTTTCGGCTTGAAGGGTGGGGCAGTCGTTGTAATTATACTTGAGACCTTATCTCAAGGTGGGTGGCGCATTTACATTGTAGATGTCTATGGGCTCCAGTAACCACTTAACACCAGGTGGGCTGTGAGCTCGTCCACCCATCAAAGGATTTAAAAAGAAAATAAACATAATATTATTATTTTTAATCCTGGTCTTGACATTACGCAAATATTAAAGCAAGACTGGAAATAAACTTTAGTTTTAAAATCATGTAAAAATTTACTATGCTTAATGAAATTAACCTTTTTGTCTTGGGCCATCAGTCACTGTTGCAAATTGAGGGCTCAGTATTGGCCTCTGACATGTTAATCATTGGCCCGTGCTAAAATCATTGTTTTTATATTTCGAATCAAAATTAAAATGTTTTACCACGTGCTGTTGAAGGTATTGGGCTTAAAAATGGTCACATTTCCCGTTCTTTGGTACATTGTCAAACTTCGTCAACGGTCTAAAGAAGTAGTAGCAACGCATTAACGTCTGCAACATGTTAATTAATCTAACAATATTCATTGGCCCGTGCCAATATCATTGTTGTTATATTTCGAATCAAAATTAAACCGTCATTACCATATTACTATTGAAGGTATTGGGCCTAATAAAGATGGTCCCATTTTGCGTTCGTTGATGCATTTGTCAAACTTCGTCCACGGTCTAAAGGAGTAGTAGCAACGCGTTAGCGTCTGCAATTTCCGCTCCGGTACGCGAATGACGTCACAGTTCCTATAATTATAATGCGGTGACACCATTGTGAAGAGACAATAGCCTTATCCGATGTTTGTTTGTCGATGGCGAAATTTGTTTTATGTTTTATTTTTAATTCATGCAATGCGGTTCAGTGAACCACTCTTACGTACGAACCAACAGGATTGTTTTATGATTTAATTTTGGCAGTTGTAACTATAATTGAGACTTTAGAACTTATATATGGTGGGTGGCGCATTTACGTTGTAGGTGTCTATGAGCTCCAGTAACCACTTAACACCAGGTGGGCTGTGAGCTCGTCCACCCATATAAGCAATAAAAATTTTTAGAAGTTACCGTATTTTCTTAACTTGCTTACCGGCATATCCCAAGTGTTGCATCAAATGGCAATATCAGACCTATGTTTTTAACTTCCTATCTCTGCTCCGGCGAACACAATTGCAAAATAATGAGTATCAGTTATTTTAATGATTGCGTCGTAATAACCAAAACCTCGAATAAGATTTTACAAAAGATTAGGTGTTTCAGAAAACTAACTGCTTAAATTTATTTATCTTACGGGTCCAATACTGCAGTTAGTTTTCTTTTAAGAATTAAAGAATAAATATTACTGAAACAGTTGTGCCTGTCAGCGAACATTTGTCATCTAACAACACACCAGGCAACACATAATGTTAAATGTGTAATCATTCTCCATTGAAAAATACTCCGCGAAACGCTTATATTAAACTAAAATGTAATATATTCAAAATTACACTTACATTCTTGAAACGGAAAATTCTAGACGTTTCGCGAGTCGTGTACGATTCTGTTTGCGACTGTATCTAGGGTTGCCACTCGTACTTTATAATAAAGTATTGTACGTTATTTAAGGTAATTGTACTCTATACTTTATGTGAACAATAAAGTACACGAAAATACTTTATTTGGCATGATTCGGTTGCTCTGGAATTTTGAAAAGTTTAGTCATATGTATTTTTTCGTTAAGCGAAATACATGGATGTCGCCACTCGTCAACGCCACATCACCTAAGCACTCTTTTTTTAACAAATATTTCGGAACGGAACTTAACCTCAAATTTTAACAATGTTACTGTCATTAATTTGCTCAATTAATATATTATAGTATTTAAACATAATAATAATAAAAAATAAATTATATTTAATTTTAATACGATGTACTTTTTTTACCTACCCTTAATAACCAATTTACTTTATCTGCAAAAAAAAAACGTGGCAACCCTAACTGTATCGTATGTTTTGTCAATTAATTTTGCATAAATACAGTGTAATATTGATTCTTCGTATTTTCAAGTTTATTGAACTTAATTCAAAATGAATTCACGATTCGCAGTTCGTTTACGTTTTTACAGAATAATTCCATTAGTTTCTTTAATACATTGTCTATGAATTTTTTGTTAGTATTATATAAAATTAAATAAACTCAATTTTGTTTCCGTTTTTCTTTCAGTGTATAAATGTATAACTAACCTAAGCTATAAAAACTAACATGAATTCTGGATGCCAATATTTGCCTAGAATTACGTTGGAACGAAAAAAAAAAATTGCTTCGCAAACATTGCATGTGGAATGAATTTATATAAGAAAATCTAGAACACATTTCAGCTGAATATAAATTTTAAGCTTTCAGAATAAAAAAGGGACTTATTTATTTAGTTATATTTTATTTATGTTACGTTATATAATCATTTAATAACTTGAACAAGTACGAGTGACCGTGAATTAATAAAATTGTTTTAAGAGAATTTCAAATTATTTTAGTGTGTTTTCAAATAAAGTAGTGAAGAAATGTCGTTCTTATCGAATTTCACAATAAAGAGCTTTATAATATATTTATTTATTTATTTTTCTGTTATGTTATGAGGAGTATCTAGTCATTTTTATTTGATTAAAAAAAAGTACTAAAAAACAAACCAAGCAACAATAAGCCTTAACTCTAATTAAATGGAACCTATTTTCACATGTTTCTTCGGCGTATTACAGGGCGGCATCAACAACGAACGTGATGTTCACATCTGCGCCGCTCACGAGACGAGCTTCAGCACTGCAACTTGACTCTTCAGACACCGACACTAAAGGTTAGTTTCGAATACAATTAAATCAAAAATGTCTCAGAACATTCGAGTATAAAAACCTTTTAAGTATAACAATCGAAAATCGAATAAAATGTATTATGATGAATGTTTATGAAATTAAAAATAGTGCAATTCATAGTCTTAATAGGCAAAATAAATATTTACACCCTATCACTCAAATGTACCCAAACGAACTAAAGGATATGCACCATCTTGACAATGTCGCTTGATATCTTCATAATTATTATGGCCGAAATACTGCTTACTTATTCACAAGCTTAGTAGACCTTGCTATATGCAGCAGCTTATGAGAAACTAGCAAGCCGAGCGAACCGGGCTTTTGCCTTTTTGCACGATACTTCGCCTACGTAAACATTTGTTTAAATTAATTAATATGCGTTATTCTCATTTCGTGCCGCCAAAGGACTGATGGTCATGAGTTTGTGTAAGTATCGATATTTTCATTATAAATGTATTGAGTTATAAATACAGCTATTCTTCAATGTCCTTGTCCAGGATGCACAATTTTAAATGCTCGACAAACGTGCATCAGTATCGTGGCCAATGATTTTTTACAAACGAACGAATAGGCAACAACAAAACGAATAAAAAAACAATAAGGTTGTTAATTCAATTTTTAATTGGAAATATAGTAGGAAACAGGAATTCACTGTGACCTATAGACATTTTACCTCAAGCACCGGTCACCGTCCTAACCCGTCGCTTGCGACGAAGGGCTCGACGAGTAAATTAACCCATAGACACAGCCCACTGAGTTTCTGGCCGGATCTTTTCAGTGGGTCGCGTTTCCGATCCGGTGGTAGATTCTGCGAAGCACGGCTCTTGTTAGGGCCAATGCTAGCAACACTCCGGCTTGAGCCTCGTGAGCTGTTCGGCGAATCTAGAATAACCTCTGGTTACTAGAATAGGCCGAAAAAAAGACATCTATTTCAACTCTTGCGGCTTTACATAGGTAAAGGACAAACGGGTAGGGTAACCTGACCGTATCTTAACATTGGTCACCTGACGGGCTACCACCGTGTAAGATCATTTGGCCCGGTCACAGTAGCACAAGAAGTGACGGAAACTTATGGTTTCCAGACGAGCCGGACCGGCAGCCGGCGCCGGCGTGGACGTCAGTGGCGCGGCGCCGCACCGACCTGGTGCCGACCGTGCCGCTGGGCCGCGCGCCAGGTAGGGCCCACTCCATGACCAGACTCGACCGTCTGCCCTCAGCCCGGCCCTTACACTCGGCGTCGCCCTCCATGCACCATCTCAACAGGACCCGTAAGAACTGTTTGCGCCTCAACGATGGCTTCGCTTTGGGTGATGGCTGCGCGCTTCGTTGGTTTGGTTCGGCCTCTGTTGATACGTCAACGACTTGAGCAATTCGGTCGGTCCTGTCGTCATTCCACAATGACGTCACGAAAACAAAAATGTCACTATTGGCGCAATATGTGACAAGTCTTAATAAAGAATATCTCGCTCAAAGGGGGTGGACAATTTGTCGGTTTAACTGTGACTAACGCGACGCTTCGCAGGGTGATCGTTTGGCGTTTTATTGAATAACAATTGTATCTAAAAGAAGTGCTTTGCTTTATGAGATTCTTCAAACGTGAGTTTTGGTTCGGCCTCTGTCGATACGTTGACTTTAGCTGCTCGGTCCTTTCGCCATTCCACAATGACGTCACGAAAACAAAAATGTTATTATTGGCGCAATATGTGACGTCATCTCTGGTGTAATTGCGAATATTTTGTTCAAGTCTTAATAAAGAATATCTCGCTCATGGGGGGGGGGGGGACAACTTGTCGGTTTAACTGTGACTAACGCGACGCTTTACAGGGTGATCGTTTGGCGTTTTATTGAATAACAATTGTATCTAAAATAAGTGCTTTGCTTTATAAGATTCTTCAAACGTGAGTTTTGGGAAAAGCGGACCTTCGCAGTCCGGTATTAGGGCTAAAATGATTTCAGATTCTTCTTGTATTTTAACCGGTTTTCTCAATTCGTTCTTAATATAAGTTATGTGTATAGCCACACTATCCAGCAACGCATTGGTGAGCATTATGTTCGGGGCTTATGTTCTTCCTTGGATTTGAGGGTACTTGTCATTAAAAGGTGAAGGTAAGACTGAATTTTTTAATATGCACCGTTTCTTTTAATTTCTTTTGGCGCACAAGGGTTCAGATGTGCACAAATTTCCTATGTTTTTCTTTATGCTTAATTCACTTTTGATTTGGGTATTATTTTAGTTACGTCGAATATATTGAAATATACTTGTGAAACTATCTAGTGGTTACAATTAATTTAATTGTACTAATTTCTTGAAAATATATAAACCAATATGATACCATAAATCAGTGCTAGTGTTAAGCACTGTGATTGAATTTCACAGTAATGTAGTTGAATGAATTGAATAAATAGAAATATTTGAATGTCAACTTTGTTAAAAAGAGATATTTAAACTAATGATTCAGATACAATACTATACTCTATTTTTTGTTATTTTTTTAACACGTAGCTACACCGTAACAATGTAACAATAACTATGTACACACTAAAGCAAACCATGAATTCTTTTAGTGACTTGTAATACTCAACATTACGCTAAGCATGGATAATAATAAAATGAACTAATTAGTAATTGAGTAAGAGTTATTTTTTTAAAACATAGATTATTAATATAGTTATTAAGATAAATAATTGTTTTAATCTATCTGGTATTTTTTGTGATTTATAAAATTTTAGACACACACACACACACCCACATGTGTGGACGTATGATTAAATATTAAATAAAATTGTATATTACGGATTCTAATCAATCGTGAATAGACTAAAAATATTTGATTTGATTTGTTTACATTGACGGTAGTCAGAAAAATTCTCTTTGTTTTCAACGAAATATGTACTCTTAATTTGACACAATACAATACAAAACAGGCTTTTGAACTACGCTCAAGTTATTTGCCTCGGTTTAACAGTAACGAAACCGCGGATCACATCTGTTATTCATCTATATCTACAGTCTCAAGATCTATAATGTAATATATATAATAATGTAACTCAGTTTTAACTAAAGATGATTTACGATGCGTGTGTCAAAATATTAACTAAAAAAAACATTGATTTGAATGTCAACACTCACTGCAACACAAGACAAGCGAACGTAACGTCGTATTGTCAGAGTCGTACGTATGTATTGTAGTAGAGTATCGCAGCCCACTGAGTTTCTCGCCGGATCTTTTCAGTGGGTCGCGTTTCCGATCCGGTGGTAGATTCTGCGAAGCACTGCTCTTGCTAGGGTTCGTGTTAGCGTGTCGTCAGGTTTGAGCCCCGTGAGCTCACCTACTAGTTAAGGTTACGCTGATATAGCCTCTCAAGGCTCTCGGCTTAGGTAGGAAAAAAAAAAGAGTGTCGCTAACTGACGCCGCAGAGCCGCGCTCCGGCGAGACGACGCCGGGCTCGCGGCCGGGCAGCGCGCTGTCGCAGGCCGCCGTGCCGCGCCGCCCCGCCTCCACGCCGCGCCGCCCGCGCCCCGCCTCCATCGCCGGCACCGGCCTCAACACGCCCAGAGGTGAGCACGCTTACACATCGACTACAATTCCTCTGAGTCGGTCTTTTCATTGTTTTTATTTTAAGAGAATTTATGATCTGGCAACTAAGACCTTTAGACAAATTGATAAAACTTGATCAATTTGTCTATACCAAATAAAGACTATTATATATTTTTTTTCTATGTTTAATTAAACAATAATGAAATGCCTTAACTTTAACAACATATAAGTTTAGGGGTATCCGCTACAAGGTGTCGCTAGTTTCCATACAAAAAAAAACGTCTTAAAGTATCGCAGTTTCAGGGCCCTGGTCGTATTTTTCTTTTTTGCCAAATCTGCGAATTACCTCTATTTAATTATAGCAAACCAAAAGTTACTATTGGTAACATCACTATTCCGTACTGATAAAAAATACGACGAATTCGTAGTAACGTATGTATTCTATTTCATTTCGTTTTAGAAATAATCGATTTAATATAACCATAAGAAATCTTCCGGTTCAGATTTGAACATTTGTCGCTATAGGTCATTTTTGTCTGCCACCAGCGTGTTGTACCTACGCTATATTATGTCTGTGTCTAATACAATTTACAAAACTGCGTTATCGCATACTAATTGTGCCGTGATCGTTGCTAATAATTGTCTATAATGTGCTTAGTGCGATTTTTAAACGTTCTCGATAGCGTAAAAGTTAACTCAAATCTGTATGCAGTTGCGCCCCTAGCGGCAAACGTAGGCAAACTTTCCAACTCGATACAAATTTGAGTTAACTTTTATGCTATCTGGAAAGTTGAAAAACTGGAACTAAGCACACTGCTATACTCGTGCGGCTTTCGTTGTTTAAGCTGTATGTGTACTCTTTAGAATAAGGATGGTCAACTTGATGATTAGAACTAAGATCTAGTGTTTTTTTTATTATTATTATTGCTTAGGTGGATGGACGAGCTCACAGCCCACCTGGTTACTGGAGTCCATAGACATCTACAACGTAAATGCTCCACCCCTCAAACCGAAACGCATTACTGCTTTACGGCAGAAAATAGACAGGGTGGTAGTATGGTGGTATCGCATCTACCCGTGCGGACTCAATACCCTCGAACCCTTATTGAAGAAACCCTCTGCGATCTACAGAGCGACTTCTTGAAATTTAATGAAATGTAGTTCAATATATAAATAACTAGCATATTTTATTATATAGGATAAATAATGTGGCGGAATGGCGATTAACGAATGGTATAGGATAAAGATGATTCGCAGAGCAGTTGTGTAATTACGGCAGTCTGTTCTGTGTATTAATTTTTTTTATTTTGTTACGATCGACTGGACTGATATACGTAATCGACGGGTTGGCCATCCCTGCTGTATAGCTTTCGTTGTCCGCTCTGAATTTGCATATACATTTTTTATGTCATCTCGATAGTAAATCTATAATAAATAAATTAGTGAAGAAACGATTTCATGTTAATAGAAATTGTTTTATTTTTCCTTTGCGAAAATACAAATTGAGCAGTGGCTTTATAGCAATCTTCGTAGACAATCATACGACAGTGTTGTTTCCCTTTTTTTATTCCGATAAGTACTATTAAAATTTACATCGTTGAAATTGGGTGTTTCAGTAGTCATAAATAAATTTAACTGAGTCACACAATGAATTATAAAGTTACGTTGAAAAATTTACGTGACCCGCTTGGTGGTACGTGGCCGTACATAGACACGATCTGGTAGACTTTAGGGGCTCGGAGCCCTTGCCACCCGCTCAAATTTCCTTCCAAACCTCCCAAGCTTTAGGGTCGTCGCACACGGGCCACCGTTGTTAATTGGAATAAATATGAATATAGAATTATGAGAGTCCATTATGATACTGAACGCATGGGTCACAAAAAGTAGCAGCCACCAACCGCAAGTGTCGACCACCAGTGGCTGTCGCGCGCTTCAGATACCTTTGTAGCCGCCTCTAGTGTCTCGTGGCGGTGTTTGTGGCTGTCGCGGCGGCCCGTAGTCTTTGGTTCGGCTGTAAAATGATCGTACAATATTTGTTTCCGCGTTACTTACCACCGCCAATACGCGAACTCAGTATACATCGGTGCTGACTTGCTTGTGGTGACGCAGGCGGGCTGGGCGAGAGCATGTCCCAGAGTGCGGCTAGCACGCCCAGCGTGTCCCGCGACAGCACGCTGGCCGCCGCCCCGCGCCGCGCGCGCCCGCTCTCCCTGCACGCGCCGCTCCGCACCGGTACGTACGCGCACGCACACGCACGCACACACGCTATAAATTTATATTAATTATGATAGTAACAGAGGAGGGAGGACTGCGCACTCGTAACTTTTACTAATTAAGGGAAACAAATCAATCTTCTACAGTCACAATTATAAAAGTAATATACTTAATCTGGCCATAAATACTGTTACAATTAAAAATAAACAAAATATTACATTTGAATTTGGAATCTGTCATTTTTATATGATTGCTCATTGAGTTTTCTCATTTTGGCGCCAATACATTGTACAATATTTTGCGAAGACTGTCCGTCGTCTAGTCCCGATCTTAATCCGCTGGATTATGATTTATGGTAAGTTTTAGAGAGTACGGCTTGCTTTATACGCCATGATAATTTGGAGTCCCTAAAACAATTCGTACGATTGGCAGTGAAAAATTTTCCCATGGAAAGAGTGCGTGCTTCTATTGATAACTGGCCTTTACGTTTAAAGGACTGTATTGCAGCCAATGGAGACCACTTCGAATAAGCTTTTTATACTTTAAATTGTTTTATATTTATGTATTAAACTAACACTGTAAAAGTAATAAATGTTATTTGCAATAGAATTTTTTCCTTTTCCTTTGTCTCAGTATTTATGGCAAGACTAGGTATAACTAGAAAATCAAACGTTGCATGCATTTAATTTTAAATTATATTTTGGATTTCATATTCTATTTTGTCTTCGTTTCGTATGAAAGCACGATTGCCTCACAATTTATTAATTTCTGACCCAATGACGAACTCCATGAAGACAAAGTCTTCATAAAATATTGTACAATAAAGGATTGAAAAAAAAATGACAGCAACGATGCTCGCTCTCTATGTACCTTAATGCCAAATCGTTTCTCTAGAGAAACGGACACGGACTAGTCCGTGGCCACTAGACGTGACCACTGCCGGTTTGGTGACGTCAATACCAAGTTTTGGTTATATTATAGCACTTTAGCAAAATAGAAAGAAGTGCGATACCAAATCTCGGATAATTTTTTCACTAAAGCTAATTTTGTTACTGCAGCGACTCCAGCCGCGCCCGGCGAGGGCAAGCCTCCGGTGCACAGAAAGCCAAAGTCATCCAAAGAACACGACAAGGTACGTCGAAGTTAAAAGTCGTCGCGGCCTAAAGGATAAGACGTCCGGTGCATTCGTACGTAGCGATGCACCTGTGTACGAATCCCGCAGGCGGGTACCAATTTTTCTAATGAAAAACATACTTAATAAATGTTCACGATTGACTTCCACGGTGAAGGAGTAACATCGTATAATAAAAATAAATCTAGCAAAATTATAATTTGCGTAATTACCGGTGGTAGGACCTCTTGTGAGGTACCACTACCCTGCCTATTTCTGCCGTGAAGCAGTAAATCGTTTCGGCTTGAAAGGTGGGGCAGCCGTTGTAACTATACTGAGACCTTACTTATATCTCAAGATAGATAGTTGTAGATGTCTTTGGGCTCCAGTAACTACTCAACACCAGGTGGGTTGTGAGCTCATCTACCCATCTAAGCAATTTTTTTTTATAAATTGTTACTGGGACTGAAGGGAATTGCCGAACTTTGCTGCTGTAGGCCCCAAGATTATATGTCGGTCGGTCCCAAGAAATCGCAGGACTTCGCTCCAAGGCTCACATAGGCTCCAAAAGTAAATGTCAGTCGGTCTCCAAATTCAAAACTAACCTGCGCCCTGCCTATCCACGACCAAACAGTAGTAAAACATTTTTCATGGTAAAATTTTAAAGAAAAAATACAGAGTGTTTTTTATACTGTTAATTTTGTATTAAAATATATATTGATTGACATTTGCAGACTCCGCGCGGCAAGTCCCAGTCGCCGGGCCGAACCCGCGACGTGTCCGTCGAGAAGGAAACCGTTAAAGTACAAAATGTTTTTATTTCAAAGAATATTTATAAGTGCGTGCGTCAAATAAATGTTAGTGTGCTTAATGTGTATTTTATTGATTTAATGTACTTTTTTTTTTTGCTTCCCACACAGAGAATATAGAAGGAGTGCAGAATGCTAATATTTTTTTAAATTACGCATAAAAAAATTTGTACATTAAGTGAATAAAAAAAAAACATTACACGAACTACTATGTATTTAACTGTTTGATTATTGTCAAATTTTCGTTATTGTTTATAGTCTGTGGTCAAATTGAGAATAGATTAAATAATACCTAATGTTTGTCTTTATTAATATTTGTCTAGAGTGTAATCTTGGCAACATCTGTGATTGTAGAAGTTTAAATAGTCTGACAATAGAACAAATTTATAATTTCAATTTATTATAGTTGACTACAGCGGGACCACTAGNACTGTTTGATTATTGTCAAATTTTCGTTATTGTTTATAGTCTGTGGTCAAATTGAGAATAGATTAAATAATACCTAATGTTTGTCTTTATTAATATTTGTCTAGAGTGTAATCTTGGCAACATCTGTGATTGTAGAAGTTTAAATAGTCTGACAATAGAACAAATTTATAATTTCAATTTATTATAGTTGACTACAGCGGGACCACTAGTGTTAATAAATTTGCACCACCTAATCCAAGAAGGAGGGTCATCATCTAATGCAATAATAATAAAGTTATGTTCGCAATATACCGCTGTAGTAGAGTTTTGTCCCCCACCGCGCCAAGGTCGCCACTTGCTAACCTGTGCTTGTGACTTGTGCAGGCGTCGGACAAGAGTCAAGTGGACGCCGCGGAGGTCACGCAGAAACTTGAGGCGCTTCAGGTCCACAACGGGGACGGCCCCCCGCCGCAGGGCCCTCCAACCCACGGTCCCCCGTCGCACGGCCCCCCGACGCAGGGCCCCCCGCCGCAAGGCCCCCCGACACAAGGCCCCCCGCCTCATGGACCCCCGGTATGTACACATCGCGCAGTACAACATGAGAAAACTTCATTTACTTTTAGAAATATTTTAGTATTCTTGTCTACTGATATATGTAGCAAAAACTCACCCTGTATTTGGATTATAGCTGCTGGTCGGCAGCAGAGCAGACGTGCGTTCGGCTGGGTGTTATTGATCGGTTTCGGTAACCGCAGCATTCACTGTACATTTGTTTGAGTGACGAGATGTACAGGGCTGCACTAAGGAGACGTTGCCATATCGGGATTCTGTTTCAGATAGATAGGGCAGCACGCCACAGGATATTATCAAATCGGAAAAACTTAACAGTAAACACATTCAAAGAATAGTACTAAACGTTTTTTATTGTTTATTCACGCAGACAATCGAAACAAAACAGGAGATGGAACTGGAGCCTGAAACGAAACTTGACGAGAAACAAACCGAGCCAAGCAAGCTTGACAACAAGCCGGAGAAGAGAGAAGAAAAAGAGGAGAGGAGTCAAGAGAAGGAGAAGATGGAAGAGAATGAGATGACAGGTTTTGTTGAAGTTATCTTTGATGCATTAAATAAGAAGTAGCTGAAATTGTAAATGCAATGTGTAGCGTTACGATAAAGTGTGTGTTCACAAAACGAACACGTGGTCGTCTGCGAGAGAGTAGTTTACGTTCTTAATCTACTCCACATCTTGGAACAGCCCACTGAGTTTCTCGCCGGATCTTCTCAGTGGGTCGCGCTTCCGATCCGGTGGTAGATTCTGCGAAGCACTGCTCTTGTGTTGTTAGGGCTAGTGTTAGCAAATTTTCGCAAGTCGAGCCCGTCATCTTATCTACCCGTCTGGATGTAGCTGGAATGGCCTCTTAGGCTACTAGGTAAGCGAAAAAAGTCTCAGAGTGCGGTACTTGTGCGACATCTGTGGTCCAAATGTTGAACAGTATTGTAATAAAATTGTTTAAATAACGCTTTAAGAAGTGTGTCATTGACAGCGTCCATGTCGGGGCGCCGCATCACCACGGAGGAGCAGGCCAAGGCCGCGCTGGCGGAGCGCCGCCGCCGCGCGCGAGAGGAGCTGGAGCGACACGCAGAGCTGGAGCGACGCAGGTGAGCCCCCCCCCCACGCGCCCCCCGCCGCGCCCAACGCCCCCCGCCCCCACGCTCCCACACTGTAGCCCTCTCATGTGTGCAGGCTCCAACAAGAGGCGGAGGAGGAGGCGGAGAGGCAGCGGCTGGAAGAAGAGCGACAGAAACGCGAAGAAGAAGAGGCCAGAGAACTCGCTCAACTACAACGGAAGATGGAGGAAGAGAAACTGCAGAAAGCCATCGAGGTACATATATATCTAAAGAAAAACCATTTTTTTATTTAATCTAATATATAAAATCGTGTCACGGGGTGCGTGATTGAACTCCTCCGAAACGGCTCGACCGATTTTCGTGAATCTTAGCGTGCATATCGGCCAGGGTGGAGAATCGGACAACATCTATTTTTCATCCCCCTAAATGTTAAGGGTGGTTATTACCCCTAAATTTTTATTTTTTATTTTTAGGCAAAAAAAATGTTTTTATTTTTTTATGATACAGTATACAAAAATACATGCAAGCCTAAATTTTCATCCCTCTACTAGAATCCCTACACTAGAAATTCCCTAGAAATCTTATATATGGCAAAACAGCGTTTAGCGGGTCAGCTATATAGTCTAATATATAAAATTCTCGTGTCACGGTGTGCGTGGTTGAACTCCTGAATATTTTTGGAAATTGTACACTTTTTAATGCGAAAAGACGATATTGGATAGTTGACGTGGGAATAGTTCCATTGGCAACGAGTGAACATGCTGGTAGAACAAGTCTTTTTTTATTTTTTATTGCTTAGATGGGTGGACGAGCCCACCTGGTGTTAAGTGGTTACTGCAGCCCATAGACATCCACAACATAAATGCGCCACCCACCTTGAGATATAAGTTCTAAGGTCTCACATATAGTTACAACGGCTGCCCCACCCTTCAAACCGAAACGCATCATTGCTTCACGGCAGAAATAGGCAGAGTAGTGGTAGCTAGCCGCGCGGACTCACAAGAGGTCCTACCACCAGTATATTAACAAATAAAGTTGATGTCGTAATGTGTTCCAGGCGCAGCAGCAGCTGGAGCGCGAGGAGGCGGCCCGGCGGTCGCGCGAGGAGGCGGAGCGGCAGGCCAAGCTGCGGGAGGACGAGGAGAAGCGCCGCGCCGCCGAGGACGCGGAGAAGCTGCGCCGGGAGGAGGCCGAGCGCGAGGAGAAGGAGCGGATCGCCAGGAAACAACGCGTCGAGGCCATCATGGCCAGGACCAGGCTCAGGAAGGTTCGTCTCCAACGAGTGTCTAAAGGCCATCATCAGGCTTCATTTTCAAAATTATAATTTGCGTAATCACTGGTGGTAGAACCTCTTGTGAGTCCGCACGGGCAGGTACCACCACCCTGCCTATTTCTGCCGTGAAGCAGTAATGCGTTTCGGTTTCAAAGGTGGGGCAGCCGTTGTAACTATACTGAGACCTTAGAACTTATATCTCAAGGTGGGTGGCACATTTACGTTGTAGATGTCTATGGGCTCCAGTAACCACTTAACACCAGGTGGGCTGTGAGGTCGTCCACCCACCTAAGCAATAAATAAAAAATAAAAAAATACATCATTTCGGATCCTCCTGATCCATTAACGGTGCTTTTAGGTATCACAAGCACCGGCCACCGTCCACGTCAAACTCGTCGCTTGCGACGAAGGGCCAACGAGTAAACTAACCCAGACACAGCCCACTGAATTTCTTGCCGGATGGATTGGTCTCCCAAGACTTGGGTAGAGAAAAAAATATATTATATTAAGTCCATTATGAAGTTGATTGACTCGAGTGCGCGCTGCGTCGTCGCGCGATAATGCCCAACGTGGTCCACTGATCTCATCTGCCTTCAATCACTTTTCTAGGCGGAAGAAGAAAAGAAACAACAAGAAAAGGCTCAGAGCCAGCAGTCCACGCCGGCGGCTTCTGCGCAAGAAAATCTTGCGCCGGCCAACAAACAAGAAGACCCCTCTCCGCCTGCTGACGCGGTACAAGCGGCGGCTCCACCGGCGCCGGTCGCCGCCCCACAGGACAACGGGAACGCGGCCACGGACGACCTGCTCGGGCTCGATCCCCCCCGCGCCCCGGGAGACGGCTCCACTCCCACAACCCAGGTGAGCTGACCCGCCGCGACCGAAGCGTACGTAGGGGTTGGAGAATACGTCCTCAACCCAAAAATAGGGAAGACGGTTGAAGATGAATCGACCGGTATAAAAGTAATTTTACTGATGGTAGAACATCTTGTGTGCCCGCACGGGTAAGTACCACCATCCTGCCCTGCTTCTGCCGTAAAGCAGTAATGCAGTAATGCGTTTCGGTTTGAAGGGCGGGGCAGCCGTTGTAACTATACTGAGACCTTAGAACTCATATCTCAAGGTGGATGGAGGCGTTTATGTTGTAGATGTCTATGGGCTCCGGTAACCACTTAACATCAGGTGGGCTATGAGCACGTCCATCCATATATGCATTAAGAAAAATATTTTTTTCTTCCAAACATAATCATGAGGTTTTTCTTCTAAATACATTATGACTATTCGTATCCGCAGGTTGTAGAGCCGGCAACACTAGAGCCCGCACACGAGGCGCCCACTGTCCGCAGCGAACACAACGCTACGACCAACAACGGCAACGACACGGCCGACCTGCTCGGCTTGTCCGAACAAACCGACGTGAGTCACTCACTGACACTGACACTGACACTGTCACAGCCACAGAGCGCACTACGATAATTAATAAAATAAACGACCAGGACGAGATAGACCTAAGAAAAAATTTATAGATTGCGTGAAAGACGATACGTGTAAGAGGGGAGTGAGCGAAGAAATGGTGTATGATAGAGGAGTATGGAAGGAGAAAAAATTGATGCGCCGACCCCAAGTGACTGGGAGTAGAGCAGGAGAATAATGATAATTAATAAAAGATACGACAAGTAAAATATTAAAATAATTAAGGTTACTTATGAGTGTTGCGGTAGCCATTATACAACGCAAGATATTTGAGAGATGCCTGAATCCCCCTTTACAACATTTTCAAGATAAGCTCGCATATATACAAGTGCCGAACAACAACATTCGAACCGTCGGTCTACCGAGCAATATCACCCGCTCGGTGGAAGATCTTCCTTTCGTCGTATACCTACAATGAGTATTAGGAATGTGTTTATTGAGAAAAGGTCACTGACCTCACAGTAATCTACCCTAATTTTTTTTGTAAAGTTTAACTAACTTATAAAGTACCAAGCACGTTGCCATGACAAGTTTCTACAACTAATTTAAATATATACAGGTTTCTTACGGCCAGCACACGTTGCAATAACCTCGGAACCGTCTTGCCCCCACACTAATGACTCTCAATTATTTACAGATCGAGGACAAGACACAAGTGCAATTGACACCAAAACAAGCAACGATCGACAACACGCCAACCTCAAACCCAACAGAGACCAACAACGGCAACGTCCACTTGGACCAAACCTCCAACATTGGCCACATATCCGCCAACTTCTTACAAACGGAGCGGACGGCCAACGAGAACCAAACAAAGATGGCCGACGTTCCGAAACTTCTAGAAGACGATTTCACAACGCACAACGGACACGGAACGCATAATCATCCTTTGACGCTTCAGAATGCTATCTAAAGCGATTGAGTTAAGGCTTAGAATTGAATGATGGCTATATTTCATAGCGTACATATTGGCTGGGCGTCGACCGACCATAGAGACGCGGCGACGAACGATACGTTAAGTAGTAGAGTTAACGAATTTATAATTTGGAGAGATTTTTGTTTATTTCTAGCTAATTTCTTTACTGACGATATACAAATTTATATCGCAATGAACTTGCGGTCGCCTCAAACCGAGCGAAAACGTTAAGGCGAAGTCATATTAAAAAAAACTGGTAAAAANGGCTGGGCGTCGACCGACCATAGAGACGCGGCGACGAACGATACGTTAAGTAGTAGAGTTAACGAATTTATAATTTGGAGAGATTTTTGTTTATTTCTAGCTAATTTCTTTACTGACGATATACAAATTTATATCGCAATGAACTTGCGGTCGCCTCAAACCGAGCGAAAACGTTAAGGCGAAGTCATATTAAAAAAAACTGGTAAAAAGTATTAATTGCTGCCGTCTGTTTGAAATGGTGCCTATAATAATTAATTTAACATTTATTTGGTGCTAATTAGAAATTAATAAAATGGTAGGCAGATTCAGTTTGAAATGAAATTTTTTGTTGAAGATACAGATGAGAACGGTAAACTGACCAAAGTTTACAATGCCAAATAAAAGCATGGTGTACTATTTTTTAGTCCAAACTAATATGATACAAAAATTGTACATCATATTAGTGAAAGTTAAATGAAGGCAAAAAAAAACCGTCTCGCGCGTTGAGAATTGTTAAAACATAATCAGATTTTTTTCAACGTTGATAAAAATGACGCAGCCAATGTGTACGCGTTGAGAACACAATGAACTGTCACATGATAGAATATATCCGTATTATCCACAGATAACATATCGTTCTAGCGACGAATAGTGGCGGGAAGGTCGCGCACCCAGGGCCGCAATAAGACTCAAAAGTATTCATACACTAAAATGACATTCAAATATCATCCTGCAGATTTCAAATCGTGCTTTTGTGTTTGAAGAAGAATATCCGGGTAGTAGCGTTTTCATTGACTTGTTTTATCCGCGAGTCTTGCCACACTGTACCAACAAACTCTGAAATACTTTTATTCAAACACAAACAATATACCTACATTTTAGTGACAGCTGGAATATTTGTAACAATGGACTTTATCGCTTACAAGCTAACGAAAAATATCAGTAATAAAATTGTGGACATTGCTAGTCGAAAATGACCATCAAATTGTGCTTTAGCTCAAGTCAAGGACATAATTAAATCAAATAAATATAATAATATACCTACATACAATACTAGTACAGCGCCTATTTAGCTTGAGAAAAATAAAAACTGTGTTAAATAATTGTACTGAAAACTGCAGGATAATGTTTGTTTTGTTTGAACACACACTCGCTATTATTCTGAACACATTTTACGGTAATTCTACATGTGACAGTGCGTGAGGACTAAATCATGTTATTGCATTTAAATTAAGTAAAATAAATAGAAGCAGGATCGTCTTGTTGATTAAATTTAAATTATTTTGTAATGTAATGTGATGTGCATCTGTCATCGAGGGGAATGGCGTCGGCACATGTGCAGCCCAACGCTTTAGTGCGGGTTTGATACTGTACATGTATTGCTTACTACTTACCTTACCATTACTACTTACTTCAACCACTAATATGAAATCAGCTCACGAGTGCTCACGGCTTGGCTTTGAAAACAAAACAAGTTATACAGCATGCCTGGCTGCTCGGCCCAAGGTCGTGGGTTCAATTCCCGCATCGGACAAACATTCGTGTGACGAACAGATTCCTTTGCTCATTAGTATCTATATATTAACTGTGGCTTTTTGACCGCCGTAATTACCACTTTTGTAATTTGTTAACACAAATGGATCGGAACCAGATTCAAAGGGAGTTTTTTTTCCAGTCCTCACTAGACAGAGGGAAGGAGCACCATTTTGTATAAGGAACAAGTTGAAAAATTGACCGCCAGTAAACAGCAAGCTATTGTTAGAAGACTTACCGAAATAGCGCTAGTGTAGGATGTGGGAATTATATGAATATAACAGTTTTAATCAGAGTGAAATGTGCTGGGTTAAAGTAAAAATCCTTGCCACTGTGGCCCCACCTTAATTTGCTTACTGGTCACTTTTTAATACACTGAAATGATGCTCCTTACTTCTAAGTTCTACTCTCCATGGTCGCAACCTTCAATCGCTTAGATGACAAATAGGTCAAGATGGCGGCCCGAGTGACATCTGTCACTAATGTGACGTACGTTGACATAAATACAAATTCCGCCATTTTAATGTTACCTTATTTCGAATACATAGTGCCGAATGATTTAATATCAGAGTGTCCAACATTTGAACCAACTCGGATGTAGCCTCGTCAAATGTATATCACATTACAGTTTTTTTTTTTAAATCAATTGCATTGGGTATTCAAACAATTTCTATGAATAGCGTTGTCATTTGTATTTTTGTTGTAGGGTTGTGTTTAAAAAGAAAGATACATGGCGTATTACATAATCTGTATAAGTTTATTTATTGTGATTTGTTTTTTTTTTGTGATTAGAATCTAAACGATCGATCGTCCAAGGAAACGGACTTACCGGAAATGACGTTCGCTTTGATTACATTAAGGGCGACCAACATCGCTTTCTTGAAAAATGCAGTATTTAAATAGTAACACAATTATTATTACGATCTATTTAATGAACAATTTCCAGTCTTAAACCGTTAAAATAAAGTAGGTATTCGCAAGAACAGTTCATTGCTGTTTTTTATATTTCGTTTCAAAATATCATAAAATGATAGCTTTTTGTCGGGGCATTGTGAGCCTTACCCTGTAGTAAATAAGTTCATAATAGTAACTCGTATCTAATCAAAATAATCATTCTTCTTATGAACGTTTATAAAATGATAATGCTTAAAATACATACAATAAGGAAATAATAATTTATTTAGCGACATGCATAAACGTTTTTTTTTTGTATGATAAGTAGTTAGCGTTCAAATAATAATTCCTATTCATATTATAATGTAATACTAAAAATAACTATTTTGTTTTTCAATTTTTTATTTAGTAATTTTTTTTTGTTTTTGTTCTTTGACTTAATCTGTGCACTTTTCTACTCTATGACATTACAGTGATATGAATGTCGGTCGTAAAACTGTATTTTTGTTTTCTCTTTTCTCCCAAATCTAATCTGAATTCAGTTCCACGGGAGAGCAATCACTTATGGAATATTTTCTAATATTGAAATTAGTTAACCTTTTACTTTTTGTTTTTTTTCAATACTCCATGCTTTAAAATATATTTAATCGCATAAAATAATGTTATTACAAATGTCTGTTTTCTCTAGCATGTTACAGCCGAAGCGTGGAGTGGTCGCTAATGACATCTGTCACGGGGACAGCTGTCATCAATGACACACGTGTATAAGTGTTTTCGCTTGTAGTTAATGTTTTAGAAGTTCATTAATTCGTTTTGCTAATTGTCAATTTATTTGCCTCCTTTACAAATAGGAAATCATGTAGTTAAATGGCCTTTGAAACGTATCGCTTATGATCTTTAGCATTGAGACGGAAAATATTTTCGATAGTTACTACGAACGTTTAGATTGTAAGCGATTTTGTTCGCGTATGAATGTTTCAGTACAACTGTAATGTTTATGACGAATTTCATCGGCCGCCATTGAATGAAGGCTAGGTTTTTTTTATAAATATGGCAAGTTTGTACAAATTTGAAATTCGATTGTTCGGGATTATCTGTGGAAACCAAGATGGCGGCCTGTCAATGTGCAAGAGCAGTTTTTGTATGAATGTATATCGGAGGCCGGTTGTTAGCTGTCATCTAAAATAACAATGTATGTAATGTATTTATGTATATCGCCCATTGAACATGGCTTCTATGTACTTTCTTTATTATGTTAGCGATCGATGGATTTGTAAGGAGAAGTTTTAATAAAAAAATATTATTAATCTACTGTGTTTTAATCTCTTACTGCTTATCGTGTCTATTACTTTAAATTATTACTACTGTCATCGTTAACGTCGAACTTTCGACATGCAACCAAGCCTATAGACAACACATAGATAATACACATAATATAGACAACCAAACGTGAGTTTATCGCCGAATCTTCTCAGCGGGTCGTGATGCGGATTCGGTGGTAGATTAACTGCCCTTGCTAAGGTAAGTGTTAGCAAACTCTCAAGTTGACTCTGTGAGTTCACTTACCAGTCAGAGAGTAGGTAGGTGCACTAGCCCCTTAGGCTAACAACGGTTAATTAGGCAAATTTTAGCATGGTTATATTCAAATTGTAATATGAGGGTTTTGAAGACTACTTAACGCCTGGCCTATAAGCTGAAGATTTCTGCAAACGTGCACAAGAATTCTTTGTTTATAGCCTCCATAGTTTTTTTTATTGCCCTTGTAGGGAGACGAGCATACGGCCCACCTGATGGTGAGTGGTTACCGTCGCCCATGGACTTCAGCAATGCCAGGGGCAGAGCCAAGCCGCTGCCTACCGCTTAATACTCTCCACAAGCCTCGTTTGAAGAAGGACATGTCATAGCGCTCGGGAAACACCGTGCAGGGGAGCTCATTCCAAAGCCGGATGGTACGTGGCAAAAAAGATCTCTGGAAACGCACTGTGGATGACCGCAGTGGCTCCAGGTAGTATGGATGTAGTTCTCGTACCGTCTCTTTTAGGTTATCTCATAATAATCATTTTCGAACCGAATCTGTTTCGTATGAGACGCTTGTGATAATGCACTCTAAAAATAATTTTGGCTATGCTCGTATTAAAAAATTTGAGTTTTGTTACTTAGATTATTTTTTATTACTTAGGTTATTTCATTACACCTACCACTATTTACTCTGCACCACTTTTGGTTGACTGCTAGAGTATGCCTTAGGCATTAAGTCCGCCAATGTAAATTTTACATGAAGTGTAATAAATAAAATAAAAAAATTATTAATTATTTTTTACATACTTTTTTATCGTCATTTAATTTTTTCTATTTAACTATTTCTCAGTCCTTCGATGAAGAATAGCTATGGGTGTGGGTTTCAAATTGAAATTAAAAGGCACATTAAAAGTCATAACACGTTTATTTTGTTTAAAGTAAATTAATGTTACATTTTGCCAGCCTTCACAAAATGCAACAACAAAGACATTAAATTACATATATAACATATCTAATCTCTTTGGTAAAAATAATGTTTCTATTCGTCGATAGATGTCGTTAC